CCAAAGACAGAACAAGCCCTACCTCCCCACTCCACTGCTTTCCAATCCTCTGGAAACATTTTCTATCAACTAATTCCTGGAACATATCAACTCAAATTTTTAGCTTTTTTTTTTCCTCCTGGAAGGTTTGGATTTCTGATCTGTAAGGTTTCTGGAATTCTGCATGGTTTTTGGAATTCTGAAACGCAGAGAAAGAACCTGCATTGAAATAAAGTACTGGATTAAAGATAGGACAAAATAGATTAGATCTTCCCTCCACCCCTGATGAGATTATACTGTAAATCAGTAGGACACTGAGACACAGGATCCCTCTCTCTGCCCCTCCCTGTCCTCCTCCCTAACCAAGCCTATCCTAGAAGACACCGGACTTTGAGACAAGCTTGCTTGTGGCTTGTGCCAAGAGCCTGCTCCTAATCTCAGGAATGTCAGTGTGCTGAGCCATGATCCACTGCGAAATCCCAAGTGTGGAGCAGAAGGAAGAGCAGTTGAATCTAGAATGGCCTCTCTAAACCTATCGCAAAGCCCCTACCTTTCCATGTGCGAGAACGGCAGTGTCCAGCCCTCTAAGAGGAGCTGGCCCGGCTGGGACCACGTGATGTTTCAGCCCTGCTGAAACGAAGACCGGGTGTGGTGGGCGCGCTGGGCAGGGGTGCGAATGCCTTGCGAGCTGGGGGGAGATGTCAGTTAAGACGTTAGCCACGGCCGAGTGGGTGAGGCTCAGTCGGACTTTTGTACTTTCCCCAGTTGTCACTGGGGCCCAGTGGCCTTCTCTGTGGCCTGCCAGGCCTGCGCCAGTCTGGACAGTGCCTTTTATAAAGCTTTCCAGGAACAAGGCCCCTGATACTTTAACCTAGCTCAAGACCCTGCCTCCCTTAAGGTTACGAGCTCTTCTGTTTCCTTGTCTTCCGTCTCTGCGTTACGATTTACGCTGGCTGTGGCTCCCTCGTCCCCACTGCCATGGCGATGCACAGCACGCACGCTGACGTCACCCAACTCTGTCATATCCTGGCTCCAGCATTTACTAGCTGAGTTATTTTGGGGGGCTTATCTCACCTCTAAAATGGACATAATTATAGTACCCTCATTATCAAGTATTGTGTGCAATGAACCAGACAAAATGCATGTAAAACATTTAGCGCAGCTTTGGGACATTGTCAGCTCTTAATAAATGTGAACTGAGGTCATAGTTCTCTCCTTCTTCTTCCTTATCTCCTCCTCCTCCTCCTTTTGCGTTGATCTTCCTCTTTGGATGCAAGTCCCAGGAGTGTGCGTTCCTACATACTTTCCCTGTCTCTGTGGAAAGAGTGAATGCAAGAATGGGACGAAAGGGGGCAACCGTTGTGTCCACCCTGCCCACCGGCCAGCATCCAGGTTGGTTTCAGGGACCCAGATGTGGGGCTTCCTTAGCCAGCTGTTAGCCTGGCTTTTCCCATATGGTCCCCAGATACCCAGCCTGGTGTTTGGGCTGCCAGTTTGCCGACTGCACGCACCATGGCCTCTGTGGGTGGACACAGTGAGTCACAAAAGGAGCGACTTGCTTCGGATCCCTGTGACACCTTGACATGCGGCCCACGCTGCCTGACTGGGCGGCAGCAGCCCCAGACTCCTGAGAGCCCAGCGGGAAGTGTGGCTGGCTTCATTGTTTGGTTTCCAGCCGAGCACCTGCTCCTAGGAAGGGCATGTCTGCCACCTGCTGGCTGTGGGCAGCACAGCACCTGGCTGTCCCTCGGGCTCCAGCTAGAGCCAAGATTGGGGCTCTGGCCCAGGCGCAGGTCGTGGGGGCCCTTCTCTGCCAGGACCTGAGGAAGGATGCTCCCCAAAGTCCTTTCTTCTGTCCTTCCCACTTCTCAGGGCCTGGCCCACCCTATTCAGCTCAAAGAGAAGAATCCGTAGAGAATCTGGGTGGAGACAGGTAGAGAAATGGAAGGGCCCTGGGCTGAGGACAAGCTCCGCAGAGAGTGATCGAAGCAGGGCACAAGGACCAGGGCCAAGGCACCACTGCCTGGCTTTGATTACGGTGAGATTGAAGGAGGGGTAACCTTTGTCCTCAGTGTCCCCTCATGCCCTGTCTTGTTGTACTTCTCTCACACTCCCAGAGATGTCAGTTTCAGATGCCGCCTATTCTAGCACCCCAGGCCCAGGGGCACCCCTAAGGCCTCAACTGCCCTTCCCCTGGCACACCTGTCCACCACCAGCCCCCACCTTCACGGAGCGCCCGCCTGTCCTTGTCTCACGCCTGCAGAAACAGGGCTGGGGCCGGGAAGTCATTAGACAGCGGCATGGTCCCAGGACTAATGCAATGAATATTCTTCACCCAGACAGGTGCCACAAATGTTAACATTTTGCCACATTTGTGTTGCCTCTCATTCTTGAGGAGGGTGTGTGTGTGTGTGTGTGTGTCTGTGTGTGTGTGTTTACTGAGTGATTTGCAGGTAAATTGCAGACATCACCCTAAATACTTCAGCATGTATTTCTTAAGAATATTTTCCCATACAACCACAATGCCATTATTTACTTTCAAGAAAGTCGACATTAATACAATTATACTATTAACATAAATCTATATTCAAATTTCCCAATTGTCTCAATGTCTTAGTCCATGTCAGGTGTCCTTAAACTACAGTCTGTGGGCCACATGCACCCGCTTGTTTTTTTTACTTCAAAATAAGATACGTGCAGTGTGCATAGGAATTTGTTCATAGTTTTTTTTTTTAACTATACTCCGGCCCTCCAACGGTCTGCAGGACGGTGAACTGGCCTCCTGTTTAAAAAGTTCGAGGACCCCTGGCCCATGTAGTGTTGCTATAAAGGCATACCTGAGGCTGGGTAATTTGCAAAGAGGTTTATTTGGCTCACAATTCTGATGGCTGGAAAGTCCAGGAGTGGGCAGCTGCGCCTGGTGAGGGCCTCAGGCTGCTTCCACTCATGGTGGAAGACAAAGGCAGGGCAGGCATGTGCAGAGATCACACGGTGAGAGAAGAAGCAAAACAGGAGAGGAGGTGCCAGGCTCTAACTGACAACCTGCTGTCCCAGGAACTAACAGAGTGAGAACTCATTCACCCCGAGGGAGGACATTAATCTGCTCATGAGGGAGCAACCCCTGTGACCCAAATACCACGCATGACGCCCCACCTCCAACAATCGGGGATCAAATTTCAACATGAGGTTTGGAGGGGACAAATATCCAAACCATCACACTCAGTAGTGTCCTTCATACCATTTTTTTTTCAATCCAGGATCCAATCAAGGATTACACACTACATTTAGTTGTCATGCCCTTTAATAAAAAACAGTTCCTCCATCTTTTTTTGTCTTTTATGTGTTGACATTTTTGGGGAATGTAAGGCTGGTTATTTTGTAGAATGCCCCACAATTTGGATCGCACAATTTGGATCTGTCATGTTCCTTATGAATAGATTCAGGATAAGCATTTCTGCCAAGAATACTATTGATGCTGTGCCCTCAGTACATAGTCTCAGGATGGGTTCTTTCTTTTCATCTTTCTTTCCTAATTTATTATCTGCCTACTTCCCAAAATCATTTAAGGAAGCCTACAGTAAACCAGAAAATTAAAAATTCTGCTGAGGTAGAGGAAGCAAATACACCAAAGTGTCCTGCTTGACGTGGGTATGGGAAGATGCATCGCATTGATCTCAGCTTTCTGGCAGCCAAGACCCAAAGGGAAATCTGTGGAGTGATAGAACCCTCATTGTTAAAATCAAGGGTCAGCAAACTTTGTAAAGTGCTAGATGGTAAATATTTTGGGTTATACTTTCCCTGTCACAACTATTCTGCTATTGTAGCACAAGAGCAGCCATAAATCATACGTAAACAATGAGCATGGCTGTTTCCCAATAAAACTTTATTTGTAAGAACACAACTTCTGGGCTTGACCCAAGGGCCTTAGTTTGCTGACCCCTGATTTAAATGAAAGGATATATTCCAGTTATTAAATGGGTAAAACTTTCTTTTTCTGGTTAAGTACTACATATTAAAATAACTTTATATCATTATTTAGTTATTCTACAAAAACTTTTTTTTCCTTTCTATTTGTACAAATTTCTGGGCTACATGTGCAATTTTGTTGCATTATTCAGCAAAAAGTTTTGAGGAGTGGCATGTGCCAAGCACCGTGCTAGGTATTGGGTAATAACACATCAATGACAAAACAGGCATGATCCCTGCCTTTTTGACAGAGTCTATGGTGAGAGACAGATGGCATGCAAGTGAACAAATATAAAACCACATCCTGTAATAAGGACAGTGGAGGGAAAGAATGGGTAAAAATAATGGGGCTGGGGATGTCATACTGATAGGGTATTTGGGGAAGGCCTCCTTGAGAAGGTGACATTTAAACTGAGACTTAGTAAAGATCATGAGAGAGGATTTCCAGGCAGAAGGGATGGCACATGCAAAGGCCCTGAGGTGGAAGGAACTTGGTTTGTGCCATTTTGAAGGCAGGTGTGGCTGGAAATTATTCAGGGGCAATGGTAGGGAGGGATATGGGAGGAGGTTTGTAGGTTGTGGCAGGTGTTTGCAATTTATTCCAAGAACAATGGAAGCCACTGGAGAGTTTTAAGCACCTGTCCATCCCCAGTCCCCAGGAGCTATCTTCTGAGGAAAGCACCAATAGCTGAGCACGAATCCTAACCCTCCCCTGTGTGACCTCTGAGTCCAGATAGTCTCATCTGTAAACAAGGCCACTAAATCCTCCTCATAGGGTTGTTATAAGAAGGAAATGCAGCAATGCACAGTCAGGCAGGAGTGGGTGGAAATCACCATAACCGACAAGCACTCGGTACCTGGCAGCCGTGTCCCAGCACAAGGACCGGCGCATACAAGTGGCAGGCGTCCCTGCGGTGCACGAAGGGCAATGCTGGCGTGCTCAGGGAGCGCAGGCAGTGGGGCGACCTTAAACAGACCCACGCTCAGGAGGGCGCCCGGCTGGCCCGGCCGAGCCCGGTCTCAACCTCGCTCTGCCGTGTTGTTTTGTTTTTCAGAGCTTCCTGACATCTATATTTGAACACCTGAGCACAGGTGAGTATGCGGGTTCCCTGAGGCTTTCCACCAACCCCAGGATGGTTCTGGAATGGAGAAGGGGTCTAAGCATGGGAAAGTTGACGGGATCCCAGAGCTCCACTGGTTCAGGGGTGTCACAGACCCCCGTGACAACTTGCCCAGAGTGTGATGCTTCACACAATTTCAAGGTGCCCGTGGACATCCCTGCTGCCCAGTTTCAGGACCCCAAGGGAAAAGCTGCTGATGTAGTTGAACTCTTTGATTTTACAGAGAATGAAACTGAGGCCCAGAGAGGGGAAGCAACTTGCTCCTGGTCACACAGTGCCTTAGTGGCTGAGATGAGGTGAAAGGCCCAGGCAAAGTGAGAGTGAGATGAAACAATGACAGGCCCCAAGCACCCAGTTCACTCCAGGGTGACCCAAGGCTGGCACCCCGCTGGTGACAGCCTTTGCCAGCACCTCCACCGGGTCTCCTCTGCCCAGTTTGTTTGTGTCCTCAGGCTCAACACGTCTGCCACCCCGTGGGGCCTGCTCTCTCACATGAGCTTTCAGACCCACAGACTCACTCTCTGCCCGGCGCCCACAGCCGGGCCCTGCTGAGGATCTCGCCTTCCTGCCACGTCATCCACTCTTGGTCCCTGACTCTGGGCCCCAGCCTCCCTTTGCTGCTCTGAGCCCTGGGGGGAGAAGACTCCTCTCACTGCTTGGTCTGGCCAGAGGCCAACATTCCCGACTGGCGGGGGCCTGGGCTGGGCACCCACATGGGACCAGAGCCAGCAGGCAGCTCCGGGAGACGGCAGTCGGGCTTGTTTGCAGCCAAGATGGCCGTACCTGGGCCAAATTCCGTCTGACAGTCAGTATCTCCAGCAGCGAAGCCCGGGGTGGGCGGAGTGACTCACGCCTGCTCACAGCAAGCAAGGCCAGGTCTTGGTGCCACCCCACGTGCTCAGAGAATAGCTGTGGCATTGAATAGGAGTACGTATGTGTGGGGTGTGTGAGTTTCCGAGGGCATCTGTGTCTTTTCGCAAAGCAGAGGAGAATATTCAACGACAGATTGTTCACTTCCTCAGAGGACCCTCTTTCAGAGGGAGCCCCTTGCTGCTGGCCAAGCCACCATCCACACTGGGGGCCAGGAGGGGCAGAAGCCAAGGAGCTAGGCGAGCGGCCTCCTCCCCAGCTGTGAGCACAAATTGCTCAGGCCCCATTAAAGGGGCCCCTTTTGCGCCTGGGTGTCAGAGAGAGCTGCAGATGGAAGAAACGGGCGTAGAAGACTCAAGGGGCCTCACTGCTTCACGTATCCGAAGAGCAACACCCCCGCCCCAGTCTATGAGGCAACTTTGTGGGAATTAACAAGTGTCTTTACCTCAAGACTTCGAGCTGCCCAAAAATTGTAGAAGATATCTGAAATGAGGTTATGACACCTTGGAATTGTACAGTGCACAGCTTGAACAACTGCAAGCGGTGGCCCTACTGAACAGAAATCACGGAAAAGGGAGCAGATTCAGTCTATGTGTCCATAGGTTTATAGCTTTAATTCAATACGTTGGGAGCTACAGGGTTAGATTTGATCTGCAAAGAGCAAGAACTTTCTGAACACTAGAGTTGTCTGAAAATCTGAATGGGCTGTTGGGGTCTTAGGAAGTAATGAGCTCCCCATCACAGGAAGTATTTAAGCCCAAGCTGAAAACCCACTAATAGGGAGTGAGGAGTATTGGATTTAACATCCCAAGAACCTGGGCTCTATGAGAACTCTGCCAAGCGCTTCTGACAGTTTGGGGAGTAACTGAAGGGACCTCGAAGCAGGCCGCCCCTGGGCTGCGGGCTCCTTCTCCGTGTCTTCCGTCTGCCTCTGGCTGTGGAGTGAGATGAGATGTAGTGGTTGGGCCTTTCTGCAAAGAGTAGATTAGGTTTAAAAACATCCCTGTTAGGTGTCTGATTTAATTTCACACCGGGGTTGTGCTTTGATGGAATTTGTCAGATCCCTGCTGGCTCCAGACAACAGTGCAGTCAAGGAGGCGCCGCGCTCCTGCCTACAGGCAAGCCGCGTCTCTGGTGGGTCCTGCCGGAGACCGTGCACGGCAAGGACTTCTGGGGCAGAAGGCGCCCAGCCACGGTCCCCGTGCGTGGCGGAGGAGGTAGCCCTCAAACATAGCAGACTCTGCCCATCTCCCCAATGCAGGTGACTCGGTAGCCAGCAGGCGCGTGGAATGCCTCTTCTGAGCTGGCGTGGCCCTGCCTGGCAACACGGGCTGAGCCCATCCATCAGCTGTCCCGCCGCCTGCCAGCCAGGGTCTCTGCTGGGCTCGCCCCGCCAGCCAGCTTGGACGCGTCAAATGCAGCTTGACAGGGTTGGGGTTTGCGGGAGGGCCCTCGGAGGAGCCGTTTGTGCCACAGTGATGGATGACGCCAACAGGGACGACATTCCGGGGATTTTTATTCCGTTCCACACATCTGGCAAGCTCCTTAACCAGAGCAGCTGCAAAGCCCCCGTCGCAGGAACTCCGAGCTCTTCTGAGAGACCCTGAACATGGACCATGTTAATGCCGGTCAAGGGACCCGGAGCATGTGCTTAAGATGATTTCCCGATGCGTGTCACTTCCTGAAAGCTAAAACCCATGGAGTTTCGTGACACCCAAACCCACGAGAGGTTCCAGGATTGTAAAAAGGCAAACAAGCGGTGCAGTTAGGTAGACCTGGGTTGTGATGCCCTCCCCTTTGGCCTGAGTTTTCCCTCGTCTGTAGAATAGGAATAATAGTACCTATGCCACAGGGTTGTTTTAAGGTTAAATAAGATTGTGTGCAACCACAGTGATTTAATTTAGTGTCTGATATATAGAAAATACTCAGTACATTGTAACCTATTATTAGGATGATTTGTGTTAACTCAAGATACTCTTACCATTCTTCCTGATAATTTCTAGAGACAGGCTCTGATAAATTGAAAATCCACAAGGCTTTCTTTTTATGTCTGATATAAAATGCTTCTCATAGCTGCCCCTTTCTTCCTGAAAGTTCTCCCTGTTTCTATAGCCTCTAGAAAGTCTCAAATAATCTGTGTTTAAACCTGGAACCCAATTTTATATCAGGCTGTGATCCCTCTTTACCCAGGAAAGCATTTGAGAAAGTTTCTAGATTTCTACAGAGCTCATCAGGCATTTTCTTTACTAAATACCTCTGACCCAAATCTCACATAGTTTTACCTAAATCCCCCATTTGCTCTGCTTCAAGCAGACATTTTTTTTTCTAGCAGAGCTATGTGTGAGACAGAAAACTTGGCCATAAAGGGAAAAATCAACTGTCAAACACATACATTAACTACATGTAGGGCACTTGCCGGGCACTGTAGGGTAGAGAGAAGAAAGAATAGAAATAGACCTTGCTCTATCTAGTTGGAGGAAACAAATCAGATAGACCAAGTACCAAGAGAGAGGTCCCATCTGAGATCCAGCCATCAAACCTAAAACTCTCCAGCCAACTGGGCCACTAAGGGATGCTCTTGTATCTAAAATTCTTATCCCAAGAACAACCTAGTATCCATCATGCCCTGCCTGTCAGTTTGTTATTACTGCATAATACGCTAACCCAAACTTAGTGGCTTAAACCACTGACCATGTATTGAGATCATAATTCTTAGGGTTGGGAGTTTAGGCTGGGTTCAGCTGGGCAGTTCTTCTGGCCTGCATCAGGCTCAGCTGATCTTGACTGGGCTTGCTCACGTGCGCCTGCAGTCAGCTGGTGGATTGCCTGGGGTCTCATTTTGCTAATCTTGGCTGGGATTTCTCGCATGTCTGAGGCCTAAGCTGGGACCACTGGGCCTGCTGCTTTCCACATTCTCTTATGCTCTTGCAGAACCAAGAGAAGAACCAACAGTTGCAGACCAAACTGTTCACATGGCAGACATAGGGGGCCAGGAGAGAGACAGAGAAAGAGAGAGGGAGAGTGCATGTGAAACAGCCCCAGAACAACTTCTAGAGGCCCAGGCTTTGAGCTGGCACACTGTCCTTCCACCACACATGTGTTGGCCAAAGCAAGTCCCAAGGCCGGCCCAGACCAAGGGGCAGAGAAACTGACTCTATCTCGTGGTGGGAGGAGCTGCAAAGTCGCATTGCAAAGAGTGTGGACGCAGGGATGGGGGGACAATGGAGGCTACTTTTCTCATCAGACTGGCTCATACCAAAGCAGAGTTCCACTGTGGAACTTGAGGCCACCAGGCCTAGACGTGGTCACATTTGGCTCCCTCACCTCTTCACTACCCTTTGATCTCCTTCCTTGGCTGACTTTCTTTCCTCACCCAACCTTGACTGGAGGCTCCTTTGAGGACAAGGACACATTCCTCTCTTATTTGTATAACTCTTCACTGTCCCCAATGCCATCCTGCTCCTGGCATAATACCTGATCCTTTGTAGGTGCACAATGCAAGCTTCTTACATCGACAATAGGATTAAGTGCCAACAAATGGAAAAGACAAAAGAAGCTTTAAGTTTGAAGGTAGAGAAACCCTCCAGGTGAGGCCCCTATAAAGCATCTTCAAAACACATTACAGCCCCCTCCAAATGGAAAGGATTTGGGCGTTTTCCCTTGCACAGCCCCCAACTGGATGGCTTCTTCTAGCCTGGTGATCTGGGGCCACCGAGCTCTACTGGTTCTATCCCCCTCAACCAAGGACCCTGGGCTCCAGAGAATAGGAGCACTTATTGCCTTGCTTAGCAGGAACATGATTCGAAGGCTACATATTTTATTTCCCCTTTAGCTTCACGGAGAGATGAGCAGACCTTATTAGTAGGATGGATTCAAGTCAAAATCCTCTAACAGACATTTCATCCATCCCCCATCACCTGGAAAAGTCACACCATCCCATCTACATAAGAATCTTCCCCATTTCCAAATATCTGCAAAGGGAGTAATTCTTAATGACCTGGCCAAGATTACCCTGTCTGACCCCCAACCTATGGGAGAAATGGGAGAAACTACAGGAGCAAACTGAAGTGCACTTATCTATAAACTCCTGTTGGAAAAACAAAAATAACTTCTCCAAAGAAAAAGAAATAAATAAGCGATGCAATCATCTCATTACCAAACCGCATTGTCTCTCCCAAATGTCAGTCTGAAATCTTTCATGTCAAACTCAGAAAAACATTTTTTCCCCCTCACTTCCTCAATCTCTCTGCTTTATCATGCCAGATGGAAGGAAACTTGATTTGCTCCAGGAAGACAATAGCCTTATCTTCAACCTAGATCCTCGTCCCTGCAAAGGTGGCCTCCCCCAGGAGCATCTTCAGAGTGGGGAAAAGCAGCTCCGGAGAAATAATGAGCAAGCAAAGGGAGTCTTGACTTGACACTGTGATAAATGAGGCAAAACTTTGGCAAGGAACCAGAGTTGGCTTATTCAAAAAAGAAATAAAAAGATAGTTCCATTTTAATGGGAAATATAAAACAGCCATTGTGCAAAAGTCGATTTTTCAAAAGCCAAAGAGATAAAGACTATAACGGAATGACTGAGAGACGAGTAAGATAATGTGGTTGATAATCAGGCCATCCCCCAAGCCACCGCTGGCCCCGCAGGAGTGCCTTTTCAAGTCGGCTGTCTGCATGCGCTCCTGCCTCATTGTCATATGCATCTCCGGACAGCTTCCTCCCAGCTTCAACTTGCCCACTTGCCATACTCCCACCAGCTGGAGAGAGCCAAGTCAACCCAACTTTCTTCAAATCCCAAACTTCCCCAAAACTACCAGCCGCAGAGCTACCCGCATCTCCCGGGGCCCCAGAGAGCAAAGCACTGCAGTCCAGCCTCACCCACACCTGCTTGTCCCAGCGACTGGCCCAGCACGAGGTTCACAGCTGTGGGCAACTCCACACGCTGTCTTCTCTTTCAGTGGGCAAGACCCAGGAACTTTCTTGAGGTTGTCCTTGGGCGAGTCCTAATTAGCAGGCTGGATATTCCACAGGGATGGTGGGACACATTTTCCTGAGGGTGGGTGTGGATGTATCCAAGGCAATGGAAGGTGCCAGTCGAAGCAGTTGAGTATTGCAGTGGAGCTAGTGGAATTTAGTGGTTTTATGGAGACAAACCGCCTTAGTTCACATCCTGCCATTTATTAGCTATGTGACCTTGGCCAAGTTACTCAACCTCATTCAGCCTCACGTTTCTCAACTTAAAATACAGTGACTAATGCAACTTCTAGATTTTTATCAGGGTGAAATAAAATGGTGCATGTAAAGTGCTTGGCACAAGGCCTGACATGCTAAAACCTCAATAAATAGTATCTGTTAAAATGACTCCAGAGATACAGCTTGGGAGCAGTTTTATGCCAAGACCAAAAGGAAAGTAAAGAGTTTCTTTGATATCATTAAGCTAAGATGACTAATGAAGTCCCATCAAGAAATGTCATTCACAGAACCACCCAACCAGGCACTCAAGTGTCACGTGATGTGACCCTGGCCAGACACCATATATAAAACCCTGGAGTCCTGCTAGCGCCCATCCTCTCTGCCTGCTGTTCAGAGATGAGAAAACCAGGGGGCCAAGAATACAAATGGCTTACCCAAGGTTGCAGTGAGCAGAAAGCCAGGACTCGACTTCTTCTCCCCATTTCCAATCAGGTGCTCTTGACTCTGCCAAATGCCACCACTACCTTGCTGGGTCATAACCTCCCCCACATGAAAATGCACAAAGTCTAAACCCCTCTGACCCACCACTATTGGTGTGAGGAGCTGGATAGACACAGGATTCCTCCCTGAGGACTTTGAACTCTTTAGGGAAAGGTGTTTGACTACTTAAAATGCTGACCTGTTTGAGCCTGGTGACTGGACTCTCTCTGTCCTGTTCCCACCCCTGCAGATTGGGCTGGTGGCAGCCACGATGTGCACAGCTATGAATACTACGATGAGGAAGAGCACCTCAGTACCCAACCTACCCACCCCGACAATCCTGACTGGTACTACGAAGAGGACGGTAGGTCCCCAATCTGTCTCAAGGGCCCTCCAGGGAGGGGGGCAGCATGTCCTCAGGGGAGGTGTACGTGTGACCATTTGCAAGGGTCCCTCTCTCTTCCCTTCTCTGACCAGCATCATAAAATAAGTATCAAAGAAATTACTGAGACTGGCTTCTTTTTCAGTTAGAGTCATGCACTGTGAGAACTGGGGAGGTTCTTAGACACCATCTCCCCTACCCTCAAGTGACGGATGAATGAAGTAGGGCCAAGAGAGGAGCTGATTTGGCCAAGGAGTGGGTTAGTGCAGCGTCATCTTGGTTTCCTGACACTGAGGAGCCGTCATGGTCAAAATCACTCCCATTGCTGAGGTCACGGGTCAGGTCCTAAGTATGCTGAGGAGTCTGCTTTGGTGTCGAGCATCGGACTGCAGCGTTTAGAAGTTTGGCTTCAGGACTTTCCTTCCCTTCTGCCTTTGCTGTGTTTTTCTTTCACTTGTCACTCTTTAGACGCTTTCCACAGCTGTTAGGGGCTATGTGTGTGTGCATGTGTATATATGTGTGTGTGTGTGTGTACTCACACACGCGTGCTTTTTGTTTTTGTGGCTTCTTTACCCAAGAAATGGGCCAGAAAGGAAAAGAAGAAGCTGGGTCCAAGCAAGGCCATGTGACTAAACCAGGAGAAGGAACGCGAAGCACTTAGCAGCTGGAATAAAAGCTGTGTAACTGTGCGAAGTGGCCTGGAAGGCAGGGCCAAGATACAGGGCATCGGGGAACATCAGAAAGAACCATCAAAACAAGAGCTGGGCCCAGGGATCCTAGTTCCTGAACCAAAGAGCAATGTGTGTGAACAGAAGGATAAAGAATTCCCCAAGGGAAGATCCATTCAGACAACCATGAAAAGCCAAAGGCACAGATGAAATATGACAAAATCTAACTGAACAAGTAGTTGAAGAAAGATGAAGGCCACTGGGTCATTTCCTCCTCGCCGCCGATTCTTCTGTCACCCTCTTGCCTTTGGTCTTCTCTCCTGATGTTCAGAAAGCTCGTGTTTCATTAGGGGTGGGTTTTCTTTCCCCAATCCTGACCTCCACCCCTGGGCACTGGAAGTAGGGGAGGTCTTCAGGCTTGTGAAATGCCTTCAGCATCAGAGACAGACCCTGTGGCACTCCCAGCAAGACTGGGAGGAGAGAGACACAGATGAGGGAAAAGGGGAGTTTCTCAGTGAGAAAGGTCCCATCCGAAGCCAGGCCGAGGGGAGACAGCCACGGTTCCTTCTCGCCCCTCCTCTTACTAACCTGAATCCCTCTCTCTGGTCTGGTGACTGCAGTTTTTCTTGCGGTTTGAGGACAATATGTGTTTTCCTCCTTTCCCCAGTCACTGGCTGTAGAGTTCCTCTCTCATTTGGGGCAGGAGACTGAAACTAGATGAACAAGTGGGGGCTTCTCACCCGCGCGCTGTCCCTTACCAACACTGACTTCCACCCATGTGTCCCAGATGCGTGCCAGCCCAACCCCTGTAAACACGGCGGGGACTGCCTCACCGACGGGGGGACCTTCACGTGCAGCTGCCTGGACCCTTTCTCTGGGAGCAGGTGTCAGAACGGTGAGTGCATCTTCACTAGTTTCACTCTCCCCTCTGAGTGAAACAAGAGGCAGTTCCTCCTCCAACTCTGGGGGTAAGGAAGAGCGGAGTGATTCCCAGGGAAACCATCAGAACTGCAGGAATTGTATCCTGCACAAGGGATTCCTCTGCAGGGTCCCAGGCAGCATCTCACCGAGTCCTCTCCCCTGCACTGAGAGAAAGAACTAGTATGTATGTCCATCGTACAGATGAGAAGATTGAGGCCAAGAGGGGATAAGAGCTGGACTCTAATCAACACATGTTCCAAACTCAGGACTTTGTGTTTAGAGTGTTTGATTAATTATAACAGAAAAATGGTGTCCTCAAATGGGAGAGCAAGAAGGATCTCAAGGCACATTAGGCCCAACCCAATTAGAGAAAAGGAGACCAGAGATTGCAGGTGACTTGCCCATGGTCACGCAGCTATTATAGTTAGGTGGAGAGCAGAAATTAGAGCCCTGGTGCCTGACTCCCAGCCCGTGCTCTTTCATCCTGCCATCCTCACTGTGTCTGCCTTTAGGGAGCTTTTGTGGGCATAACATGAGGCTATGGGATAAAATATCAGGAGTAAAACTTGTATGGGCTAAGTGTACCCCTAGAGAGAGACTGGATTCTTTCCAGACTGGTAACCATCTAAGTAGGGGTAGGGGGCAGAGAGGGTCTTATGTATATGTAGGGCTTTGTGGTTGACATCTTTCCACTGTACCCTTCTCACTTATTCCTTCCATTTTCTCCTTTCTTCCTTCCTTCCCTTCCTTCCTTCCTTCCTTCCTTCCTTCCTTCCTTCCTTCCTTCCTTCCTTCCTTCCTTCCTTCCTTCTTTTGACAAAATCTTGCTCTGTTGCCTTGGCTACAGTGCCATAGCAACCTGAAACTCCTGGGCTCAAGCAATTCTCCTGCCTCAGCCTCCCAAGTACCTGGGATTATACCACTATATCCAGATAATTTTTTTGTTTCTATTTTCAGTTTCCCAGCTAATTTTTTTTCTATTTTTGGTAGAGACAGGGGTTTCAGTTGCCCAGCTAATTTTGTTTTTCTATTTTTAGTAGAGACAGGGGTTTCACTCTTTTTCAGGCTGGTCTCAAACTCCTGACCTCAAGCGATCCTCCCGCCTCAGCCTCCTAAAGTGCCAGGATCCTTCCATTTCCAATCCTTCAATCCCTTCAGTGAATGTTGCAGAATGGTAGGGGACATTGGGTATAAACATAATATCTGGGCTCATCCCTCAACTTCTCAGAAGAAAGACAAAACTGTGAATAGAATATGAAAATGGAGAGAATAAATTGAGACTCTGTTGGCTGAGGTGTAAAAATTATCAATGCTTTTATTAAGATAGAAACATTAGGATTATAAGCACTGGAAGGAAATGGGAGGGGATCACCCATGACTAGAGAATAAGAAAGAAGGAGAGAAGCCTTGTCCTGGAGCAGCCTGGCATTTCAGCACCACGGACAAGGCCACACGTGCTCTGACAGCCACCCCACCCCCAAAAGTACTGCGCAGGTAATCCTCTGCATAAAACGGGCCCCAAATAATGTCCTGTGCTTTGTCCCTGTGTCTCAATGGATCTCTTACAGTGCAAAACAATTGCAAGAACAACCCGTGTGGCCGGGGCCATTGTCTCATTACCCAAAGTCCTCCCTACTACCGCTGTGCCTGCAAACACCCTTACACGGGTTCACGCTGTTCTATAGGTAAGTGGTGGAGGCCCCTTCTGTGCTCGGCTTTCTCTGCCTCGGTCATGCCTGGGGTCCCTTCATCCTATTGTGTGGAAGTCCAGATGCATCTGGTGTTTTTGTGGCATCCAAGATGGCCCTTTTCACTACGATTTCTAAAGATTCAGCATCCCTGGAGAGCCCAGTGGGAATTGACTGATTTGTGTCCCTTCCCTTCTAAAAAGAATCATCCTAAAACCCGCTTCCTCCAGGAAGTAGGTCCTGCTGTATTCCTGAGAGGGGCCACACAGGGGAATCAATACATATTGATTCACGATTGCGAGTCAGACTCAGTCCCAGGAGATTTATATTCTCTCTGGCATTTCCCCAAAAACACAGCAAGGAAGAATTTTAACAACAAAGGAACTGAAACTTAGAGAGGTCCACTGACGTGCTCGTGGTCACCTGGCTATCACAGGGCAGGGCCAAGGTTCAACCCAAGGCTCATCTGTACAGGTACTAGAGTGTCAGTGGGTCTGTCTTTCCCCTTGGGCGACCTGTCCCTTGTGAGAGGATGGACACCAGAGGACAGCCACCAATACCTCCCCGTCCTCTCAGACGGAGGCTGCAACTCCTTCTGAGGAGCCTTCCCGGCCCCTTCCTGTGTCCACAGTGACTCCCGTGTGCAGGCCGAACCCCTGCCGGAACGGCGGCACCTGCTCGCGGAACAAGCGCAGATCCAGGTTCTCCTGCTCCTGCCCTGCCCACTTCAGGGGCAGACTCTGCGAAATAGGTACGAGTCTCTGCCACCACTTCGTCAGGAACTCGGGCCCACAAGTGAGGCCTCTGGAATCCCTTTCTGTTGGGGTTGTGTTGCCAGAATGCGGTTCAAGTTAAGTTTCCCAAACTCTTCCACTGCCTCAGCCTTCCACCCTAGGGCCATGGGGTGTGTCTTTCTCTGTGTAAAGAAAGTAACAAACCGAGATATAGAGTAGGCAAAGCAACCACTGGGGTGTCCCTGGGCCTCACCCCACCCTTCGCCAGTGCTTGTGTGAGCCGGAATTGAGGGACTAAGCTCCCACCTGCCACAACCACTGTATTTCATGTTTTGAAGCAGGGTTCAATGTGGAACACTCAAGCACCTTTTGTCTAGAACTTTGTGCTGAAATCGCAGGGGGAGAAATATGGAGGCCCAAGCCCAACACCCCGTGACACACCCACCCGCCAAGCCCGTGTTGGGAGCAGCATGCCCACCGCTGTCAGCTCCCACGTCCCCGCCTTCTCTCTCCGAGGTCCCGATGACTGCTACGTTGGCGACGGCTCCTCCTACCGAGGGCAAGTGAGCAGGACAGTCACCCAGCGCACGTGCCTTCACTGGAACTCCCCCCTCCTCTTGCAGGAGAATTACAACGTGTTTATGGAGAATGCTGAGGCCCAGGGCATTGGGGAGCACAACTTCTGCAGGTAAAAATCACCTTCTTCCCTGTGCTCAGTCCTGGTCGCTTGGTTTTCAAGCAGATCATTGACAGTCATCAGCCTTCTTCCTAGGAATACTCTCCTACACAGGATAGGCGAGGTGATGCTGCTATAACAACCAATCCCCAAATCTCAGTGGCTCAAATACATCAAAGTTTCTTTCTTACTGATGCTCCCTGTGTCATGTGGGTTCGTGGTGGTGATGGTTGGGGATTCAGTTCCACAGATTCAGAAGGACAAGAAGAGACTGGAAAGCAGACCATCACTTTTTTTACTTCCTCAAATTAGAAGTGAGACATCAACTCCCCACACATATTTCATTGGTCAGAAATAGTCGTGGGGCCTCACGTAACTTCAAGGCAGAAATGTAGAGGAACAAATGGAATGTCTGTTGGGCATGACAGTCTCTGCCCCAAGATGTTCAAGTTTTCTCATGTAAGGACAATGCCATCACCCTCCCTGGTGATGACTTTAGCTACCTCCTTTCCCTTCTGTGGCCTGCAGACCCCTCTGCTGTTTTTCTCCTATTGTGGTTTGTCTAACCAAGGCCAATGACTTAGAAGAGTCGCATGTCAGGGGCAGGGGTACTTTGCAATGGCTTTAAACTGGCTCCATAAACAAGAGGATTTTCCTTGCACAAAACACTAGTCCACCTTCCACTTGCACTCACCGTGAGCTCTTCCCTTCGAGGAGCTGTATTCAGGAAGCCTCTGGCAACCTCCCTCAGGGGTTCCCATTCCTTTCTCAGAGGAACCCTGTGCTCACCATGTTTCTGTGGCTACTTTACTTCCCTGACAAAGAAGGGTCTTCAACAAGGATCTCATTTCTTTTCCCACAAACAATTTGATACATTCCATGGATCTGGCACAAGGCTTGCGAACTATTCCCTGGTCCTTTGGATTCTTCTCTGGAAGTTAAGATTTGGCCAAGAAACTATGACCACCCCTCTATGCCAAGTTTGCTAACCTGTTGGAGGATTCAAAAGGAATGTGGTCCCAGAAGGGGCACAAGAGACTGGCACCCTGTTACACACAGGTCCTTTAATGAGATGCAGTTGGTTCACTGAGCCTTGGTCCTGAGTTACTATGTTTTATATTTTAGAAACCCAGATGGAGACCAAAAGCCCTGGTGCTATATTAAAGTTAACAGTGAAAAGGTGGAGTGGGAGTACTGCGAAGTCTTTGCCTGCTCAGCCCAAGGTGAGGCTGTGGCTGTCTGAGGCCCCGGGGCTGGGGAGGTTGCAGATGCACAGAGTGACATACCTGGCACCCCCTCCCCCCCACCCCTCCTTCCCCCACACCTGCATTACCAATTCCCATCCCAGCACCAACCCAACTCCCAGCCCTCTGCTCCCCTCAGGATGCTACACAGCCTGGATTCCCCTGTAAGCTTGGGCCAGGTGGGTCAGCTGTAAACTCATGCACCGACTCCAAGTCGGTGCACCCAGCAGATACTTATCCATCACTTGTGGTGTGCCAGATGCTATGCAAGGCCCTGGGCATACAGTGGTGCTCAAACATTGCCTGGGCCCCCATGGCCTCTCAGGATGCAACATATCCAAATCCATCCTCACAGTCTTCCTGCCAGTCTGCCCTGGCCCCCTCCGTCCCCACATCTAGAACAATGCTCCCTCCCACCCTGACCAATGGGATTCCCTCCCTGAACAGTTTCACATCTGAGTCTTTGCTCTCATGGTCACCTCTGTCTATAATAATCCATCCCATATCTCCTCTTGTCCATATCCAACCATTCTTGGAGAACCAACTCAAGTATCCCCTCCTCCAGGAAGTCCTCCTTGATCTCTCAAGTGAAGTGCTGTCTCTTCCTCACAAACCCCAAGGAATGAATCAAGGCACTGCCCTCAAAACACTTATTGCTCTCTCCTTTGTACCATAGTCATCTGTGCCAATGTCTTATTTAACCTATTCTACTTCATCTGGATATCCAACCATCTACACTCTACTGGATATCCAACCATCTACACTCTACTGGATATCCAACCATCTACACTCTACTGGATATCCAACCATCTACACTCTACTGGATATCCAACCGTCTACACTCTACTGGATATCCAACCGTCTACACTCTACTGGATATCCAACCGTCTACACTCTACTGGATATCCAACCATCTACACTGAACCCCTAGCTCAGTACATACCCAGCGATGGATTTATATACTTACATTCATATCGATGTGTGTGTGTATACATCTCAATCCTAGGGATAACACACTTGGAAATAAGAAAAAAAATCTTCCCTGTTAATTCCCTAGACTGGCTTTGCCTTAATCAATATATTCAACAAATACCATTTGTGCCCCCACTCACTCCGTGCCCACCCCGTGCGCACCAGTGCCGTCTTCTCCGCTCCAGCGCCTTGCTCATGGCTGGACTCCGAGTCGCACCTCTGCCTGGGTCCTTCTGAGGGGCCAGCGGGAGGCTGAGTAGAGTGATTTGTCTTTCTTGTGTCCCGCAAACATCGCCTGCCCAGAGGAAAGCCCGACTGAGCCCTTGGCCAGGCCTCTGATGTTCGAGTCCTGCGGGAGGACCGAGACAGCGGAGCGTCACATCAAGAGGATCTACGGAGGCTTCAAGAGCACGGCGGGCAAGCACCCGTGGCAGGTGTCGGTCCAGACCGCCTCCAGGACCCGGGGCCACTTCTGCGGGGGGTCGCTGATACACCCCTGCTGGGTGCTCACTGCCGCCCACTGCACTGAGTAGGTGGCCCCTGGGGGTGGGGCCAGGGTGACTGGAGAGTACAGCGGTCCCCTCTCCTTCCCCGCTGAGCAGCATTTGGTAGCTCTGGCAGGATCGAGGGTCAACCTCAGTCCGAGGGCAAAGACATGGCCCCTTAAAGCCAGACGGAAAACAGCTACTGTGTCTGGATGCTTCCCACGGGCATTGCATGCGTCATAGGACGTTTAATCCTCAACTGTCTACCGGAAGACAAGCTAAGGGAGGGCTGGGGGTTTTATCTGTTTTATTATTATAAATTGTGGCATCTCCAGTGCCTCGAGCAGGTCTCTTTGTACATGGCAAGGGTACAGTAAATACTTGTGGAGAGAAAGAGTGTACTATTACTCCCTTTTCATAAGTAAGTGCGCTGAGTCTTGGGAGGGTTGAGCAGCTTGCCTGAAGTCACGTGGAAGGGAAGCGGGCAAATGTAAATCCCGGTCCATCTGCTTCCTTAACCTCCTTAATCCTGCCCCACTGTCTGCTGCCATCACTCACGAGCCTTCTGGGGCAGGTGTCTTCAGTCAGGTCTCCTGTGTGCTACAGAGAAGCCAGTACCTTCTGGGGAGCTAAAGAGTCATGACCCCCTCCAAGTTCCCTGTGCTCCTGGTCAGGGCTGGTCCCAGGAAGCCCGGGTTTCAGAGGTGGCCCTGAAGATCTCCCAGTCCATCTTGTTTTGAAATGATTTCTTCTAGGATTCTATAGAGGCACTGCCACGAGAGACCTAGCCAGCAAATATGAGCACCTACCATGGGATTTTGGAAGATTTGTCCAAGAAGGCAATGGCTGTTCTTTTGCAAGGCCCAGGGAGAATGGGAGGTCTCCCAAAAACTGGGTTAAATGTTATATTTGGAGCTTGCTTCCATTAATAAAGCAGCTCCCTCATCTTATCTGGACCCTGCAGCAGGTTATGAGTGAGACAAAGGTCACAGATGAGGATGCCAAGGCCACAGAAGGTCGGGGGCTTTGCCAAAGGTCACACAGCCCATTAGGAGCAGGGCTGGGGGGATTTGGCTTTAGTCTCTTACATCCCATGGCTATTTTCTGTCTTATTTTCTTATCTTGTAGAGAAAAAGCTAGATATCTAACAGTGGTCCTGGGAAAGCAGGACCTGAAGAAGACAGAATTCCACGAGCAGAGCTTCGGGGTAGAGAAGATATTCAAGCACTACAACTACCATGAAACAGATGAGATTCCCCACAACGATATTGGCAAGTCTCCTCTCTCATGGATCTCCTGTGGGTCTGGAACCTGAGGTTTGGTTCTAGAAGGTGTTCTTGATCACTGTGGCCCCTTGTAGATCCCATAAGGGAGAGAAGGTAGTCCTGGGCTTTTGAGTGCTTGAGAGTGTGTGTCGTCGATGTTGTGGGTAGATGGGCACATACTTTTAAACGGAGAGGAAGAGATGCTGGGAGCACTGTGCCATGGAAAGAGCTTGGCTGTGAATCCCAGCTCCCCCGACTTTATAGCCAGGAGCTGGTCTCCTCCCTGACCCTCTGTTTTCTCTTCTATAAAATGGGGACACTGATGCGCAACTCTGAGCTTCCGCGTGTTCAGTGACAGGATGTGTGTGCAGACACGCCTGGCACCCAGTGAGCGCTCAGGTGCAGAGATGATGATGCTCTTAAGCTACTGGCCACCCCGTTCCATACTCCACTGCCCCCTTCCCGGGACCCCTCCCTCTCTCTCCTTCCTCAATAGCTCTTCTTTTTTTACTTAGGGTCTGTTTTTTAACCAATGGATTAGAAATTATTTCAAGCTCACTTATTATTTCTTGATATTACTCCCAGCCTGAAGTGTTACTCCTCCCCAAGTGGAAGTTCAAAAAATGCAATGAGTGAGGAAGAAGATTTTCAGGCAGGGGGCTGGGGGGGGTGCGCTTTGTTGTGCCCACCTTCCAAAGCAAGTGGAAGCTGATGCTTCTCCAACAAAGAAGCAATGTCACTCACATTCCCTCTGTCTCTCCCCGCCCAGCTTTGCTCAAGTTAAAGCCAGTGGATGGTCACTGTGCTCTGGAATCCAAATACGTGAAGACCGTTTGTCTGCCGGATGGTCCCTTTCCCTCTGGGACTGAGTGCCACATCTCGGGCTGGGGCGTGACAGAAACAGGTGCGTCCAGCCATGCACTCCCCCATGACTTAGGTGAGCTCCATCAACCAGAGAACTCGACGTGCTACTCATCTGAACTTGACATGTTATACTCAAAATGCATTATCAAAAGAAAGTCTCTGCCTCATCGTTCAAGCTCTAATTAAATCTCTTCACCTGCCTGCCCTAATCTCTATATCTGTCCCTGGCCCCTACCCCTAGATGCCTGAAGTTTATCAAGCACTGACCCTGAACCCATGGAGACCTCACTCCTTGCCTAGGCAGATTGGAAAGAGGATATCCTGGAAGGAACATAAATTTTGGAGTCAGATAAACTTGCATTAGATTCTCGGCTTTGTTGCTTGAACAATTGATTTTTAGTTTCCCAATAGTCACCTCCTAGATTTGGAATCATGATCACGGGAAATGACAGACGGAGATATTCGTTGAGTGAGCCCTGGGGGGGGGACAGGGGGGGCGGATCTCATCTCTGTCTCTCCCATAGCACATTGGTCAGGGATTTCCACATAGATGTTCTATAAAATATTGTTAAATTGGGCTATTGATTTGTCTTTAGGATTTAGTCTTATCTAAAACAGTAACCAAAGGGTTCCTTTCATCATAGTGCTGCCAAGATTATATTTTCTACTGGAAAAAAATTCAGAAGGGTATTTGAAGTCTTTCCCAAATACTCAAAATATATTTCTCTTCCTTCCCAAATCTTTAAGAATGGACAGCAAGAATCACTCTAAATAGGTCTACATTCATGAAGAAAGTAAAATGTAATTTACAAATTTGTCAGAGGCTTTTGGGCAAGGAGATTTCTGGCTAATTTGATTTAGGGTCAGCCAGAAAGCTCTCTGTGGCCATCTTCCTTGTGGTCCATGGGAACCTTTCCACCTCCGCTCTGCTCAGTGTGGTCTGGCCAGTACGCTGATGTCTCAGATGGGAATCTTACGGGCCCTCAGGTTAGAATTATTTTGTTTTCCATGAATAGGCCTCTAAGACTTTATGTTCAAAGTCAATGATGTGTTTTGACTGATTTCATTATCGTTAGAGGGCGGAATGTCTGCTCTGGGAAGCAGATAATCGAGTGCACCAGGGCACTCATCCATCCATCCATTCACTCACTAAGAGTCTGCTCTGTGCCAGCCTTTGGTTAGTCATAGGAAATTAAAAAATGGTTTTGACACCCTCCCAAACCTCACAGTCTAGTTGGGGTGACAGAGAAGGGGATAAATGATCCTGGTCCATCATGGCTGGGGCAGCATTGCAGGTCTGCACGAGCACGGTGAAGGCTGGTGTTGAGGTGTTTCTCCCTGTCTCCTGGGAAATCTTTTGTCCTGAGCTGAGAGCTGGTGGCCTGCTCCTCACTACTGATAGTTTCTGATGAAGTCAGTGCCACCTTGGTCCCCACAGTGATGAGTCTTTTCTCTGCCCCGCAGGGGAAGAGTCCCGCCAACTCCTGGATGCCAAAGTCAAGCTGATCACCAACGGTCTGTGCAACTCCCGCCGACTCTACAACCACCTGATTGACGACAGCATGATTTGTGCCGGAAACCTCCAGAAACCTGGGCGAGACACCTGCCAGGTCAGAGACTCCAAATGGCGCTTAGGGGAGGAGAGGCTTATAGGACGTTCCACTGGGCACAGAGGCCCCTGACAGCCCTGGGCTGGGCGCTAGTTTCAGAGTCCACCTGCTGTACAGCTAAGGCACAGGCAGGGCGTGTCTGTCCCTGACACATCCTGGACTGACTCGGCAGGATGACCGTAGGGGCCACTTTGCCTACGTTATCTAATTTAACTCTCTCCACACTCTGGTAGAGGGGACGTCTTTATCACTGTGGTACACATGCTTACAGAAGTTCTGTTGGCCTAGAGCAACTGGATGGTGAGTGGCAAGGCTAGAATTTGAACGAGGGCTGTGGTCTGCCACGTTGCTCCACCATGCTCAAATACGAAGAAGGTGCTTCTTGGCTTCCATATTGGGCAACATGTCTGAAAATCACAGTAAACAGGGAACTGTCCAAAAAGCCAGTGGTTAGAAGGAAAATGATATAAGGCCTAGATATTTCACAATAATATTAACTAATCACTAGGACTTGTATGTGTATGGGGGTTGGGGAGAGAGTGATCTAGCCCTAGCAAACTAAGGAGCCCTGTGGCCTGGGGCCTGCCTAACGTTCCCCTGGTCTAGGACTTTGGGAAAAGCAAGCTGCTGAGGCCTCTGGCCACTCAGAGACACTGCTGGAGGAGAAGGTGGTGGCTTCACCAACTGGTGCCTAAAGTGACCTCAGGCCCCTGCCCCAAGTCAAAATCCACTTCCCGTCACCCCTGTCTCTGCAGGGGTCACACCACACAGGGTGAATCTTTCCCAGACTCAGAATTTTCTGCCTATTGTCCTCATAAACCATCCAACTGGCCGGGAAAAACCCAACATGTCCACATTCACATCCTGGCTCCCTGATGGAACCTCCCTAAAGAGGGACCCAGCAATGATTTGCTGGCCTTGGGCCCACTTGGGGATGGGAAATCAAGGGCTGTCTCTCCAGGGTTTGTGGCTCTCCTGGGACCCCCATCCCTTCCCACGGGGCCATGGAAATTCACATGCTCAGAGGAGGGACATGGCCAGATACATGCAATTTTCCCTGAGCTTCCGGAAGATGAGTAATAAGAGAGATCACTCCATTCCCTAGACAATTCAAGGGTTTCACTTACAGGGTTTGGGAACAGTTGTGGGTCTGAAACCTGGCCCTGTCTCTTACCGTGTCACCTTTATCAATCACCAAAGTAATTCTCTAACCTCAGATGCCTAATCTATAAAATGGAACATATCCATAAGATCGTAAGGTTATGGGTAAGATTAAAAAAAGAGAATTCATTTTTAAAAAACCCGCTAGTTGTGGTGGGTAAGTAGAAGTGTCTGAGAGCTATCCTCCTCACCATCATCATCCTCCCACTCAGCCAAGGGCTCAGCGGCACTATTCTAGTCTATGTTCTTTACTAAGAATCTGCACAAGAGCCCTGGTGGAAGGGACATCTGATACTATCCACAGTTTACAATGTGAGACACTGAGCCCCAAGGGTCTGGTTTGGAGCCCAGAAGGTCCCTATAGACTGTGCTGAACACCTAAGTCATGCTGCCCCTGGGTCTCCATCCCCCTCACCTGTGTGTGCCCTGCTGGTCCTAGAAGGGCTTCCTCCAGCAGGTACCACCCCGTGGTCGGCCACCTGAAGGAGCAAGTCAAGGGCCCCTGAGGACTCACAGTAAATATCGGTAGGACCAAGAGTCGGGAAGTGCAGCCCAGTGGCCTCTGTGCCGAGCCCTCGCAGGCTCAGGGACAGAGGACAGCATTAGCTTCTCTCCCTCCAGAGTCTTGTATCATGTGACAGATGGGGAGGACCTTGCCACGGCTTTCCAGAGAAGCCCCCCATGGGGAGAGGTGGAGACATCTCCAAGTATATTCTGGATCACAAGGCTGACCTTGTGCCCGTTTCCCTTAGGGTGACTCCGGAGGCCCTCTGACCTGTGAAAAGGACGGCACCTACTTCGTCTATGGCATCGTGAGCTGGGGGCTGGGATGTGGGGAGAAGCCAGGGGTGTACACCCAAGTCACCAAGTTCCTGGATTGGATCAAAGCCACCATCCAAAAGGAGACTGGCTTCTAAGGTCCTGTCTTCTGATCCTCAGAGCCCATCCTCCTCACACCCAGATGAGGGGAGGCCCCCTGGGCAGCCACAGACACCCCTGGGAGTGTCCAGGACACAGTGGAGCGTCCATGCACTAGGCAGAGACCACCCAGCCTGCGCATTCCTGGACCAACACCTGCCTTCCCGGGTAACCCAAGGAACGATAGAATCCACACAAATACATTATGTCTGCTTCCCCTGAAACAACTGTACCTTCTAGAAAATCAGTGTTCACAGAGACTGCCTCCACCTGGGACATTTGCAAACTCGGACTACAGATTTCCCGGCACCAGTGGGAGTCACCTTCGCACCTGTATTCCCCACCCCGGACACTCGAGGTACCAAACAGAACCAGCCAACCACGTCTCGGATCCGAGAGAGCAACAAAAACACAACATTCTCCATTTGCTTTCAGAGTTGTTACTTTAATAAAGGCAGGTCTGGGTGGGCTCGTGAGCCCTTTTCACAGCTCGCCCAGACCGAAGCCATCTATGGCACGTCTCTGGCGAGCAGACGTCCTCTCTGCTGGCTCCTCTCTCGAAGAATCAGGCTGGACGCTGTTCACTCACAGAGGCAGAGCCCTCTTCCTTTTGACATGCAGAATCTCCATGGCGTCCGGGTTCACCTCCCCCATCTGCTGATCTCCAGCCTGCACTGCCTCCGGGCCCCCCTGCAGGAATCAAACAGCCCCCCTGAGTTCAAATGAAGCTCCATCCTGCTCCCACGGGACATGCTAAGACGCCCCGAGAGCATCGCACACGCTCGCACTCCCCCTCCCGCTCCCCTCCGCCGCCCTCCCCAGGAGAAAGGATCCTCAAGGCAGGAATGAGGAAGAAACAAAGCCAGTCCCTCATTTAGACGAGGCATCTTTCTCCTGAACAAAGTCGGGTTCAAAATGCAGACGGTGATAGCCAGCGAGTCCCTGACCCTTTCCGAGAATGTAACGAGCAAGCAGTCAGCACAGCCTGGGCTGCCCCGGCCCGGGATTGATGTCGCCCCGGTAGGTTTGCCTCTGCAGAACTAATAGCTGTGACTTCAGAGAAAACCCTGCAGGAAGTTTAACCCGCGTGTCATCTGCCCGGTCATCTCAGACCCATGAAATTAGGCGCCTTGCTTGAGCTGCATTTCACACTTCTTTAGAGCTAGCTGACCTTTGGCCAAAAATAAACTTTGAAAAGAAACAATGAGTTTGTCTTTCCCCCACAGCCTTGCGAGCCAGGGTGGGTTGGCAGCGTGCTACTCACGTAAGCCCCCCGGAGAGCCAGGCCCCTCGCGTTGGCCAGTTCTGCCGCCCGCCGAGCCATCTCCACTCTGTAGGAGCCAGGAGGGGTCCAGCCGACACCTCTGGTCAGGTTCAAGTCTGATTTGTACTTGACCTTGGGGAAAAGAGGCAAGAGGATCATGTTAGCAGGGTCTGGGGTGGCTTGACCACGGAGTAGACAGGACCAAAAAGGCAGCCACAAGATGGGGAATATGCTGTCGTCAGTAAAGCCCGAGCGAGGGGAGCAAACCCACTTCCAGCAGGAGCGCCCACGTGCTACGGGCTGGGCCAGCACACTGCTGTTCCTTGCACTCGTCCCATTCAAGGGATGGGAGCTGCAGTGGGGCGGGTAGGGGACACCTGCTCCTACTGAACTCACTTTGTGGCCTTGGGGAAGTCACTTCCCTTCCCTGGGCTTTAGTTTCTTCCCAGGGAAAGGGCGAGGGCTGGGTTAGGTAACTAGTGAGATCCCTTGGAAGCAGTGCAGCAGAGCCGGCAAGAGCCTGGGTGGGCTCTTGCATCAAATCAAATAGGGTTCATGTCTCAGGCCTGCCTGTATTTGCTGTGTGATCTTGAGTAAGTCACTTAACCTCTCTGAGCCGTAGATTCCTCTTCTGTAAAATGGGACAGTACTGGGGTTGTTGTGTTACGTGGCACAATGCTTAGAAAGCATTTGTCACAGAGCCTGGCCCATGGTACAGATGCAAGAAATGGTAGTTATTGTTATTATTCCTCTGGCACCAAAGTGTTAGGGGGCTTGGATTCTATCTCAGCCCGGCTCCCCCCAGAAGGGAACATGGCACGCGGGACTGTGGAAGAGACACCAGGGGAAGGCGGCTCACATCACTCTGCAGCTGGTGAGCCTTCTGCGCGTGCTTCAGGCCCAGCTGCTCCGGGTCGCAGCTGGGCTGGGGCAGGGGCTGCCTATAGTGCACGTCGCTGGCCAGCTGCTGGCTCCTCTTGGCGTGAAGGAAGCCGGGCTGGTCTGTGCGGCTGTGGAACTGGGACCGATTCTTGGCAAAGTCCTTTTTGTACTCATTGTCACTCTGGAGTCTGCTGACGTTGAAGAAATGCCTCATCCGTGGGTCGTCGTGGATGCTGCGGTACCCAATCTGCAGGCCCCGGTCCCGCAGGAAAGCCTCTTTGTACCGGAACTGCAAGGACGAGCAGCAAAGGTGCATCACAGGTGCATGACAGGTGCGTCACAGGTGTGTCACAGGTGCCCACCTCCCCCTGGGCCAGCCTCACTGATGGGGCCAGCCCACAGGATTCTCAGCAGGAGGCTCGAGAGTAGGTTATGGGCACAAGCTCTGGGTTTAAGCAGACCTAGCTGTGTAGCTTTGGGCCAGTTACTGAGTCTCTCTCTGAGCCTCAGTTTCCCCATCTGATAAAATGAGAAAACGATCTATTGCCTCCTTCTCGGGGGGTGTTGAGACGATTCAACCAGACAGAGGCTGAGCTTCAGGTCTGGCGCCAGCTCGTGCCCACTGCGTGGTGGCTGCTGGAGTCTCTGCTGCTGCAATTAACACTCCAACAGCAGAGAAGCGTGCCAGTTCTCACACAGCCCCTCTGCCTTCGCTTCCTTCTAGCTTTCAGAGACCTAGCCCAGGGCTCCTCAGACCATCTACAGTGAAGGACCACTTTCATTTTGTTTTGCTTTTTAACTTTACAATGCACTAAAGACCAATATGTGGTCCTACTGCATGTAACTAGGATGTAGTAGTACCATGTGCATTGATAACACCCGAACTGGCCTTCACCCCGTTCGGTGAGATGAGCCCACTGGTCACTACTTGGATGCTGCAACATCTAATTGCTAAAAACATTTAAAAAAATGCTTGCTCTGATTTCTGTACTTATCACATTGTGAACCAGCAAGAAACCATTCCCAGGTGAGCCTGTGTCTAGTGCTGTGGGACATTGTCTCGTCCATGACGCCCTGTTTTCTGATGATAGTTGCCGTGTTTTGAACACTGGTTATGTGCCAGACACTATCTACCATTGTGTCTTCATTCCCATATCAATCCTAGCAGACAAGATCCCTATTTCACAGATGTAGAAATTTGAGTTCAGAGAATTTAAGCAACTTGCCCAAGACAGACAGCCAAATTCCTAAGTGACTGAGCCAGAATTGGAACTCATGTCAGTCTAAGGCAAGAGCCCAGTCTCTTTCTACTCTTATCATACTATACTCCAGCTAAAAGGAGTCCCTCTCTTGCAAATCAACAAACCAATCACAAGTTCATTGATTTCTACTCATTGACTTTTAAGAGTGCCTCTCTTAAAAGAGAGGGAGCGAAAATACAACCTTCCACGATCTTAAATTTCTGGCTAAGATCCTAGAAAATAGGACCCATTTTTTGTTTTGTTTTGTTTTCATTTAAAATACAGTTTATGAACAGTTTTGGTGCAGGGGGAGAGAGAGAGAGAGAGAGAGAGAGAGAGAGAGAGAGAGAGAGAGAGAGAGAGAATCTTAATGGGTCCTGGTGGTTTGCCTTTCAGCAGAACTGGGAAAACCAGAGTAAACCCTATCAGTGATGAAGAGAGAGCGTGCGGCCTTACATCACTGGCGATCTCCCTGGATGCCCGGGCAGTCTGGAACGGGATGGCATCCAGCCTGAAGTCGTAACTGCCAGCCCGGGTCTGCTCCCAAGAGTTCCTGTAGACTTTCTAGATTGGGAAAACAAAAACACGAGTAAGCAGGGAGTCACGCCACTGTCTTGCGTGCTGCTGGTTCTCAGCATGGTGGGTGCTAAGCCTGGCATGGTGGGTGCTAAGCCTGGGCACCCTTTGCTTTGTTGGTTCCCAGGATGGCAGAGCCTGTCCTGGGGACTCCCCAGCTCTGGGATTGGCAGGCTGGCCACAAAGGGCTTCAGCTCTGAGCCCCCAACCCGACTCTGAGGCCCTGCTCCTGTGGGGCTGGAGGTCAGTGGGTCTGGCTCATTTGCTACTCCCCTGCCCACTCCTTCCTGTCTCTGCATCCACTTTCAGTGCCTCTGACTGGCAGCTTCTAGATGCCAGAACTCAAACTTCCAGAATCCAGTTTCTTCCCACACGCTGCAAGTGCTGTTCCTTGGGTCTCGGCACCCATGTGTTTGTTAGCTCCACTGACTTCCGGGGGGTGCCCCCAGCCTGGCTTTGATGTCGCGTCCCACACCGTCACTCCGAGGCATGCTGCATCTCACACACACCCCTGGCGCCTGCACGAAGGGAAGAGCCTTCACCTGAATTAAATTTATTGTCAAGAACCTGACCGAGTACCTGACCCATGTGTTTCATATCTTCCTCTTTCATTTTTTTCCCTTTTCAAGTTGTTCTCACACGCCCTCTGGGAGTCTGTAATCATATCCTCTTAGTCCTCAGGTAGACCCACATCACCGATAGAGGCATCAAAATCTTCTGTGCCTTCATGTAGCTAATATTTTTTTCAAGATAAGGGAATGGCTCCATAAAAGGAGTCATCTGGAGCTCCCAGTGGAGGGCCAGGCTTTATTCCGCTGCAGAGAAGGGCGACAGCGGGAGAGGCACATCACCAACAGACGACAAAGTGACAGCCCCAGACCGTGTCGGTCGCTCACGCGTTCCGCGAGCTACAGCAGGTCAGGGGGCCCTTAAGAACCTTACTTTTGTCTCCTGGAAATGGAGGTCAAGGCTGGCGCTCTGTTCTGCAGGGGCCTGGGGGCGCTGAGCAAAGGAGGAGTGGCAGATGAAAGGCCAAGTGCTCCACCCCATCCCGCAACGTGGCCTGGAACCAGGGAGGACCGCGGAGTGCGTGGGCCAAGCATGGCGGACCTCATCCTTCCCATGCACTGCGGTCACTGTCGCCTCCATCACTGCCTCCAGCCCCAGCACCCAGCACCACAAACCAGGAGCCAACGCCTCTGGGTTCTCCCGGAAATGCAGAACCGTGCATCTCTGGGGGGATCACCTAATTGGCACATCACAAACAAGAGCCAAGATGCTTAGATTGACTGGGTCACTGTTGAGTCCAGCAGCTAGGACGGAAAGACATGTAGGGGACGGGAATGCTCAGATAATGACAACAATCCCCCTGGTGTGCGGGCCCCACAAGTATCAGAGTAGCAGATGGAGTCCAATCCCTTCTCACTCTCTCCAAGGGGGATTCAGGTCCTTTCTCATAGGAGGCTCCACACCAGA